TTGGTTGTCGTGGTGGCTCAACTCAGGTCAGAGATCGGAGATGGTGATAAAGGTGGTTGAGTTTGCCGAACATAAAACCAGCAAGAGAGAGGGAGCTTGTGTGTGTTTTTGTTTTCAGCTCAGATGCTCTGTGTCTTCAAGGTGAAGTTCTGCCATGGAATTTGTTAGCAGCAGAGTGAATGTATGTGTAGAGGTCCGGCGGGCGGCCAAGGCGAGGCTGCCGCCCGCCGGTGAAGCGGAATTACTAGGTTGTCAACCTTGCTCTGATACCATGAAAGATAAATTGATAGAGAGAGAATAAATTGTATGTATTATTGATTGATATATATTATATTTTACAAATGGTGAGGGGCTCCTTATATAGGAGATGTAGTGGAGTAGGTGGTAGTAGGTGGTAGTGGTAGGTGTGTAGTAGGTGGTAGTAGGTGGTGGTAAGTGTAGTAGGTGGAGTAGGTGATGGTAGGTTTTAACAAATGGTAACTGACGGTGGAGGTTAGTGGTATTTTAGATAATAAAGGGGGTGACAGTGTAATTTCAAAAAAAAATCAAGGGGTGTTAAGTGTAATTTACCCTAAATATAATTTAAATGCACTTTACCCTAAATAATTAAATTGAAATCATTTTTTTAATGACGAGTAAAAAAGAAGAGAGAAATAAAGCTGTTTTGAGTAGTAAAATTTTATCGAGACTCTGATGTGTTCAATATTTATGCACCCCTAAGTTTACAAGACGAGCACTGTTATTATACATAGGAGAACTCTATGAACATAAGTGCTAGACAACGAAAATCTAGCTAGTATACCTACCCAAAAGGAAAAAAGGACTGTAACTAGAATTATTACAACCATAAAATTTGCAGAGGTCTTGAAAAAAGAAAATCACTTCGTGAAACTCAATTTAACCATGTTTAAGTAACAATCAAGTTCATTATATGGAATAATGTTCATGTTCAAACCTATCTGGCACCAAGCAAAGAGGGAATAAGTGACTTGAAAGGAAAGAAAACAATCGCAGCAGTAGCAGGAAAAAAAGGGCACCAGCAGTAGAGGAAAAAAGCAGCGGCAGAGTAGAAATCAACAATGATAAAGAAGATGTAGAGGAGCAGCAGAGGAAACAAGAATCAGCAAAGAATAAAGAAGTGAGGATGGAGCAGAGAGGGAAGGTGCAGCTGTAGCAGCAGCGGCAGAGGAAAGGGCAGCCTGCCAAGGAGAAAAAGATGCAGAAAAAAAGAGAGGAAAGTGGAGGAGAGAAACTAGCTATCTGGGGTGTTTGTTTTGCAAATCAGCCTCTCCAAAAACATGTTAAGTTAGGGTTTTATAACAAAACCTTGATTCCTTTGCTTAGGTGTCGCAATCCTAGTTGATCATGTGTTTGGTCACATTACTAGTCACATGACTAGCGCGTGGGAGACACTTGCAAAATACATAATTTTTATATATTTATTGTACGTCATATATAAGGATAAATAATTAACACCAAGGGGTTAGCCTAGTGGCAAGGTCTTGGGGGTGTGCTCCCTCTAATGTTCAGGGATCGAAACCTCTTAAGTGCTAACAATTCCTTAGGGCCATTGGACTAGGTGAAAACTCTTAAATTAACCATGATGCACTTGTGGAAAACTCTTTGCCGAGCGCCTATGCACCCTTGGAGATTAGTTGAGCTTTGATTTGGACACTCCGGCGTCAATAAAAAATATATATATATAAGGATAGATAATTATTATATATCATATATATGAATATTTAAGTCAAAGAAGTCTAAAGGAGGAGAATAGGTATACTTCACATTGTTTTTGTTTAATTATTGAATTCTAAGTTATTTTTATCTAAACTTGTAATATAGTTCATGTGTGTTTAAGTGTTGAGAAGTTTCCGCTGGGTGGTATCAGTGTTGAACTCAACAAGTTACCTTCTTAGAAGTGTATGTGCATCTTAGAGGGCTTCGTTGCATTTTAGTCCCCAATCTTTTAATTTGGCTGCAATTTTTTTTTTTTTTTTTTTTTTTTTTTTTTTTGTAAAATTCTAAAAGTACTCCTTGTTTCGTTGTTATTGATTTTGAACAACATTGACATCAGGGACTAAAGTGTAACAGGATTGTATACTTTGAGGACCAAAATGAAAAATTAAAAGATGGAGGTTTCTGGCATCAACGCCATTCAAAATCATTAGAAAGAGGATATTTTTGGAATTTTACATGAAGCCTCAACAAAATCAAAAGGGCCAAATACTCTTGTAGTCCCCAAAGTACGTATTTTGTTTCATTTTGGCCTCAAAGTATGTGCTTTGTTGCATTTTGGCCCCTAATCTATTAACTTGGTTGTATTTTTGTGCAAAATTTTGAAAAATACCCCTTGTCTTGTAATTGATTTTGAATGGCACTGACATTAGACACTACAAATCGCATATTTTCGGGACCAAAGTGGAAAAATTAATAGATTAAGGAATATAGCGTCACAAGTAGCATACTGCAAGGACCATTGGTGTAATTAGCCTCTGAAAAGTACGTAACGACATTATTTTATGTTGATACTACCGTTGAATTTTAAAATTTAAGATTTTTGAATATATATTGTTAAAATTCAAATTTAATACCTGTATTCTACTAAAGCCGCGTTTGTGTCTCAAGATAGGACAAGGGGTATAAATAATACCACAGTCCTCATATTATTTTACATAAAAAAAAAACAAAGATTATTGAGATTATAGTACCAAAGTTTTAAAAAGCCTTTATTAAGGCTCCCCTTGAGCCAAGGCTAAGGCAAGACATATCGAAACTTTGATTTTTAGGTGATACTCCCAAAAGGCTTGCACATTACAGACTGAGGTGTGTGGTTTAGCCTTGCCTTGTATGCCTTTTGTGCATTAGCATTTGAGAAGTACGTATATGGGGAGCTTGTCTTGGGCTATTGCCAAACATAGTCTAATACATGGTTTAATTAGAAAAATCAAGTCAATGACCAGCAATGAAAATCCTTAGAGTTGGGGATCGTGTGAAGAAGCTCAATAACTTGAGCCAATAATGTTGTTTTCACTTTTGATGATGATGAGGGCAAGCTTGTCTGTAGTAGTTTTTTTTTTATTTCCTTAGTAAAGTATTTATGCATTTATATTTAAATTTAACATTTTTTTTTACTATTTTAAAATATTTTATTTATTTTATTAACCATAAAACTTTATAGTTTAAAATTCTTATGTTTCGATGCCTCGAGGCTTATGCGTTGCCCCCATTAGGGATAAAATGCCTTGTGTCACACATCCTTTAAAAACTTTGAGAAACACCATGAGATTATTGCATAGTTGCACGAAACAAGAATGGGAGCATAGGAGCATGGCTACTTGGAAGAGTCATAGGTTGGGAGCGCTTATGTATTATTTTTATTGATATAATTTTAATTTATCTACATAAATTATTTCTTAAATTTTTAATTGACATATATATATGTTATAAATAAAAAAAGTATAGCAAATAAGGAATAGTAGATTTTGGTAAAAATAAATAAAAAAGGAAATAACAAATAAAATTTATAAAAATTATTTTAGGCATAAAATAAATTATATTATATATGATAGATTACCGGTTATTAAAAAATAAAAAATAAATTATATTGCATATGATAAATGATAGATGTAGAGGAAAATATAAATATTAATTTTAGAAGAGATAAACTTCTCTCCCCCCCCCTCCCCCTCCAAAACAAATAGATGATTTATTTTATTTATTTTCTTAAAAAAATGAAATACAATTATTCTGTTAAAATACCTCATTTCCCTAATTTCTTTTCTCCTACCTAAAACCCTAGCCTCCCTTCTCTCTTAGAGAGAGAAGAAGACGACAAGATAGAGATCTGAGAGAAAGAAGAAGATAGAGAGAGAGAGAGAGAGAGAGAGAGAGAGATCGAAAGAGAGAAGAAGACAGAGATCGAGAGTGAGAATGACAGATTACGATCGCGATTGCTTCCTTCTTTGACAGATTCGCGTTTCTCTCACATTAGAACTGCGATTCTTCCTCAAAATCACGGTTCTTCCTCAAGTTCGTCTTCATCTTCCACGATTCTTGTTACTAAGGATTATTGTACCATGGTCAATGGGGTATAAAGAATGAGAAGATAAACCGGAGGAAGGTTTTAGGTATATCAAGGGGGTGTCATTTAAGTTATCTGATATTGCCATGATTAATATTTCTATGTTTGTGGCATTAGTCCTATCTGGCCAAACAAACTTGGAATTGGTAATCTGAAAGAGATTATACTAGACATGGTGGGCCTCATAGGTATTTTTGTTCAATTCCCCTCCCTTATCCCGCGAAACATATGCCCCCTTATTGTTACTTAAAGTTATGATCATTTTCTTGCATTTTTAGCTTTGGATTGTAGCTTACTTGCAAATTTGAGTACTAGTGTGGTTATAAAGCAACACCTAAGACAATTGGTAAAGTACTTGCTTAAAGGTGGAGATTCTAGCCCTCTTGAAAGGGTCTCAATGAAGCTTAAGCTATAATCTATATTGAAATATTTGATTGAGGAGCATCACGCGATTTTGGTTAGACGGGTGAAAGGGTGGTTCATGATCCTATAGCTTTATATGCATCTAGTGGAAGAGTATGAAACACTTTATTAATTTGGATATGGGATGATGGATCCTTAAGTTTATTAAATTGCATTAGTTAAGTTGGGAAAAGTCAAGGTGGAGTAAATTGGAGGCACATTTACCCTCCTGAAGTGTTCTTCAAAGATTATGCAGGGTGGGAGGGTTCCACCTTCTTGGATGATGTTAATTGTATAGTCGCTTTTTCATTTGCAATACCTTTTGTTCAGTTTGTTTGTACCTTCTTTGATTAAAGGATTTCTACTCTTTGCCCTTTTGACACATTATAATTTGTTTCTTAGCAAAAAGGGGAGAAAAATGCTTGATCTATTTTTGTAGACGAGGTTGCAAACTTTTGTAATTCCTTGAATATATGGTATATCTTTGATCACAACAATTTAGCGTGTTATCTTTCAGGATATTATTTGGCACGCTTTTAAGGAATATTGCACAGCGAAAATGGTACAACGCACTGCAATTTCTAGTCCGCACTCTGGTATGGAATAAATTGAAGATCTTGTTCGTTACTAATTTTTTAGGGTCTATTTCGTAATGTTTATGATTACAGCTTTCTGTTTATATTTATAAAAAAATTTAAAACTATAAATAAAAACTCTTTTGATGTCTATTTTCATTTTTAACTTGTGTAGTTTACAAAATTTACTAAATTTTTGTAATAACAAAAAAGTTGGTTTCAGTTGCTTAGAAAAAAAAGTTTTCATTCCTTTCTCAATCTCCTATCCCCTTTGGCCACCACCCATTGCTCATCACCACAACTAACCACTACATTCGGCCCCTGCCCTACGACCATCGTCGCCTAAGGCTTTCTTCAACTACCGCCTTTGGCCGCCTCTAACCACCTTCGGCCACCAACTCTTGTCAGAATCCACCTTCGGTCACCATCTTCAGTCGTCACGTCTAGCAGCCGACAACCATCTCTAACATCGCAAACCACCTTGGGCCAACAACTCCCGCAATCCGCAACTACATCTGATCACCGCCAACCACTGATGACAACCACCTTTGGAGATTGGAACCCACCTCCAATGGCCGACAACCTCTTTCGGCCACCATATCCGTTCGTCGACAACCTCTTTCAGCCACCACCTCTCCTTGATCATTGCATTCACTTGTTTTTTAAACACCTTTATTGCAGACACATTTTTTTGTTTTATTTTTTTACCAAAAATAAACAAACATATTTAATGTTTTTTGTAAACAAATAAGCAAATTGTAAATGTTACCAAATGGCACCTAGGCATATTTATTTTCTTTTACAAGCTTAGTTTTCTAATACAATAGAATCATGAGTCTTGAATGGTTAGCTTATGCATTTGTTCGTAAAAAGAAAAAATAAAGTTCGTGTTTTTATTGTCATGTTTGGTGACTATGACGTAGTCCATTTGTGTTTCCTAGGTCAAGCTTTTGTTATTTTAAAAACAAAAGGAGCGGCAGAAAAGATTATCAAAGAATTGGGTGACGGATGCTTAATGCTATCAAATGGGAGGTATGTACATAAGACCATCTCTAAAGAGTGCCTTGTATTAGTATAATTACTTTTTGGCAAGTGAAGAAAAGCTCATGGAGAAGTACAAGGGGTAGCATCCTGTAATTATTCAACTTGAAAATTACAAGTGTAGTAAACTCTTCCTAGTTGTCTATATATTCATATGTTATATGGACTCTTCTAACTGTATGAAATACCTATGTTAAACACTTGATTCTTCGGTAAAGGTATATGTCTGTCGTGTAGTTGGACATTCAACCAACAAGCATATATAGTATTTCGAGTTTAGCATATAATAATGCATCAAGCTCTATGTTATGCATGAAATGCTATTACGACATCTTGTACATATATTCCATCCTACAAACTAGAAGCAATATATTAAGAAATGTGAATAATTTCCAATGCCTATGTCTTCTTGGATTGAAGAATTAGATGAATTCGAAACTTAAACACATATTTGCAACCAACACTCACACCCATCATGGATAAATTTCAAATAACATAACAAAAGGTCTCTCTCATAGAATTACTATACGAAGTATGTGTTGGTATTTAAATACCTATCATTGGTCTTATGATCACTAAGGAGTGGACCTCACAACCTTAAGGCATAAGGCAGGCTCACCTCGATGGTGGTCAACTAAGTACTTCACATTGGCTCATTAAATTTCCCTTGCCTAAGTCATGGATTACCCTCGCACCACCACGCGAATAGATACTCCTCTCTGCAAGCATCACCTGCTTTGAAAGAACATTCCTCGCTCTGTGAAGAAATTGTCTTCAAGACCAAATTCTCCGCTCTACAAGCACATCCCTCACTCTGCAACCATCTGCTCGCCTTATTACCACCCCATTCACTTAGCTGTGTGGAGGCTCCAACTTTGAAATGGCACCTTGATGTTGTATAGCCTGCCTAAGTTAAGAGCTGGGCCTCGGTGGTAGTTGCGAAGCGGATAGAGAAGTTGCAGCGGGATTTTCCATGGGACAATAAGGGGGAGGGTTCTAATTCTCATTTGGTGGCATGGGATCGCATTTGTCGTCCTAAGGAGCAAGGGGGTTTGGGAGTTAGGCGGTTGGGTATGTTTAATTTGGTGTTACTGGGTAAGTGGTTGTGGCGTTTTGTAGGGGAAAGGGAGCATTTATGGTTGTAGCCAACTTTGGTCTGGGCAGAGGGGGGTGGTGTTCGGGTAAGGTCGGGCTGCCTCACGGTTATGGTGTCCAGAAAGGAGTTTGGTTGGGTTGGGAGGAGTTTTGGCGGAGGAGTCAGCTCAAGGTAGGGTTAGGAGATCAAGTCCATTTTTGGCGTGATAGGTGGTGTGGGGATATTTCTTTGGTGCAGTTGTTCCCTCAGATTTTTGGTATTGCGGAAGATTGTGCGGTTTTGGTGGGGGCGGTTAGAATGGGACAAGGTCTGGTGGTGGTTTGGAGTGTGCGGTTGCATCGTGAGGTTCAGGATTAGGAGGTGGATCAGTTAGTGAAGATGTTGGGTTTCTTATATAGGCTGAAAGTTGGGAGTGCAAGGGAAGATTCTATGGTTTAGGTCTGTCCCAGCTCTGAGGGGCTTTTTGTTTGTATCTTCCTACTATGGTGTGCTTGTTCATGTTGATGCGGTTTTGTTTCCTTGGAAATGTGTTTGTGTGTCAGGCACACCATCTAAGGTAGCTTTCTTTGTATGGACGGCGGCCTTAGGACGTATTCTGACAATCGATAATTTGATGTGCCGTGGGCATGTTTTGGGGAATTGGTGGTGTTTATGTTGTGGTAATGCTGAATCGGTGGACCATGTGCTCGTGCATTGCCTCGTTACATATCGGCTTTGGATGCTTATTGTGGCAACTTTTGGTGTGGTTTGGGTGCAGCTAGGTTCCATGTTGGTAGTTTTGCAAAGTTGGGTTGGTGGTAGGTTTGGGAGGAGATGTCGGAAGGCATGGATTATTGCCTCTCATTGTTTAATGTGGCTTATCTGGTTGGAGCACAACAGGCGTGTTTTCCAATGGGTGACTCACTTGATTTCTTAGCTGGAGAGGCGGATGCTTATGGTGTTATGCAATTGGGTTACGGGGTTGGTTGATCTAGATGTGTTAGCTTATGTCGATTTTGTAGAGGATTTGATAGCTTAATTTTTTTCCTTCAGGGTTGGAAGTTTGCATTCTTTGCATTATCTTGATGCTTTTCTAATAAAATTGCTTATATATCAAAAAAAAAAAAAAAGTTAAGAGCTGAGCCTAGGGACCCCCTCGGGTTTGGTGCCTAGTCATGGGATGTCGTAGCAACCCATGACCATGCAAGATCACTAGGGACTTACGATGACCAAAATTGACCAAGTCATGTGATACCTTGGGAAGTCTATCATACCTACACATTGCTACCTCGTAAGCTGTAGCACACCTACTCAGCAGAACCTACACGAGTGAGTTGGCCTCTATGGCCTAACTTTTTGGTCTCCCTCTCTATATGCTAATTATAAGCAAGCTAGCAAGCATCATTCAAACAAGGAGCTTCTCCATGCATCAGAGGCTCTCCTCTCTCTCTCTCTCTCTCTCTCTCTCTCTCTCTTTCTCTGCTCTAAGGTTGTCTTAGCTCTCTCCTTCCATGTTTGCTGGTCTTGTGCCATCTTAGTGCCTATCGTGATTCTCAAAAGTCCACAACTGATCACCTCACATACCATTACCCATAATATACTCCACTCGAGAAGAGTGGTTACTCACTAAGCATGACTCATTCAAGCCTTTCTGGTGAAAAATGTTCGAACTCAATCTCCCCATATCTTCACTACCCATAATGTGCAAAATACTTATTCCAACTTTTCAACTATGTTATATGGACTCTTCAAAATTAATCAAATACCCGTGTTAGATACCTAACACCTGGACAAGGGTGTGGGATATGTGTTTCATATTTTTCATTGAACACTCTTATATATTTGTATTTAACTCTATTATTATGTGTATAATTGCTATAAAATGAGTAAAATATCTTTTTGATGCCGTGTGTTATGTATTACATCATTTTATCTCATATTATAGATTAAAAATATAAAAAAATCAACATTTTTTTGCCGAGTCTGTGTATCTTTAAATTTGAGGTTTGACGGGCCCGACCTCGAAATACACACCTGTACCCGACACCTGTACCCAAGTCCATATAACATAACTTCTGAGTTAAGCACTCAACCCTTATAAGATATACATGAGTCCTCTCTTTTCAAATATTTCACAAAAAGTATTAAAGAGTTGCTTTCCAAATCTTATGCCTTCTCTATTGCATCTAAGCAACCACTAGCCATTGAACATATCAACAACTACTCTTTTTTTTTCGGCTGGGCACTAGATTTCAAAGAATTTTTGAAAATTGCTCACAAATAAGTCAATGATAAACTATCTCGACCATTTCCTTGCATATAAATGTTTAATCTAGAAGCAACTTACTTTATAACTCAATTCAACAAGCCTAAATTACTTGCGATTATGTGGCTTTTGTCGAAGAACTGTGCATTGTAGAGCCTCTTTGTTAACAAATTAAACTTTTGGGACTATCAGTGATCTAACATGATATTAGAGTTCAGGTTAAGAGAGATCTTGTCTACAAGTCTTTGTGATTGCATCATGCTTCTGTTCGTGTTGGGATGCTTGCATCTCCACTTGCAAGACAGGGTTGCTAAGCGGTTTGAACACTTCTATTTAGACCACTTCTTCAATTTGTCTTATTTAAAAATTATAATTCATTACATACATTTTTCGGACATTTTGGCCATGCATCTTGAACCCTGCAAACACGACCTATGTGATAAAGTTCCTTATAATAACAATGTTCTATATTCCTCGAAAAGCCACTTTTGCATTCTAAATATGATTTGTGTAGCCATCTTGCATGGTTGGTTCCTAGAGGTGTTGAGTTTTCCTTGAATCAATTTTTGGATTTTGTTCAAAATTTTGAATGCGTATAGGAGTTTTGTTTTTGGTTCTTAGAGCATTTTACATAGGTGGCCACCCCTTGGTGTCTTTCAATTTTATATATTTTATACCTGATGATCGAAAAAGACAACTAGATTATCTGCTGTAGTGGTTTTTTTTTCTACCTCCGCTTCAGGGGCTTAGGCTGACTGATTAGTTATTTATCCCCCTTGTTTGTTGTTGTCATGGAAGTTTTGAGCATAATAATTGTGAGAGTTGTGTATGGGGAGAATGATATTCGGTTTAAAGGTGGGTAAATTGTAAGGGACACTAGTATTGCTTTCTCATTCGTTGTATACTAGTAATACTATAATTTTTTTGTGGAGTTCGTGATGAATAGTTGAGGCATCTTTGGTAAGCAAACAAACGAACGTATACTACAAGGATGAAATCATCCTTTTAGTGGATTTAGGATATTCAGGGTAAGGGGGCTCATATAATCAAGTACTCAATCAACCCCAATCTAGACCCGACCAACCTATCTCTATCACTGATGGTTTCGTTGATTTCAATGGTCGACTGCGGTTTAAATCATTTAATTTTTCTTGAGATTCAGTCAAGTATCGGTTTTAATACAAACGAAATCATTTAACACAATCTGACTGTATTATATATATAGATATACCCATGTGTTGCCATTTGATAGGCTAGTAATAGTACCCTTACCTTCCCAAGACTTTGACTCTTATCACTCCAACGTTGCCATTTGATAGGCTAGTAATTGTACTCTTACCTTCCCAAGACATTGACTCTTATCACTCCAACATTGCCATTTGATAGACTAGTAATAGTGCCCTTACCTTCCCAAGACATTGACTATTATCACTTCAACTTTGCCATTTGATAGGCTAGTAATAGTACCCTTACCTTCCCATGACAGACTCTTATCACTCCTACTCATTATTTCAAACTATATTCAATACATCACCATCTCTTTCTCTCCCTCATCGTGTCTCACTATCTCTCTCCAATTCAATTCATGCTCTATATTCAATTCAATAAATAACTGCATTCAATTCACTCACTCTCTCTCTCTCTCTCTCT